CAATTTCCACCCCAATTTCTATGTTATATCAATTTCTCCTCCATGTAGTTTTTCCACATTGGGGCCTATTTTCTCCCTGTCCTTGATATGAGCTTTATCCAGATCTTGCTTTCCTTGCTTTGGGCTGCTGAAAGGATTCCTCCTTTGCCCCTTTCCCTTCTCCTCTTCTTCTCCTACTCCATTTTGAGCCCATATTTTAATATACTGGTTCTTACTCTCAGATCTGTAGGGCAACATGGAGTCAATATCTATCTATTTGAAACCAAGTTGGAACTCAGCTAATTTTCCCTTCATTTTGGTTAATGCACAAACAAATAGTGAGCTATCATGCACCAAAGCACTCCCTTGTAGCCGCTCTGGTGGTATGGCCCCCAACAGTGCCTTGTTCCCCTCACAGGAGTCTTTGCAGCCTTCCTCAGTCTACTCTTTTGGGAAGTAGCTGATCTTTTCTGCTGCTTATTTCCTAATATTGTCCTGTTCTCTCATTATCTCAGAACAAGGATTCCCAGAGCATGGTACCTAGAAGTCTTATTTCAAAGTAAGATGTCCTAAGGTTTGGGATGTTTTTTATTGTTCCACCTGTATCCTAAATTGCTCCTATTAGGATTCAGGAATTAGAGAGACAATAGATGATACATAGATATATATTCAGATAGATAGTTGGGTGGATGGATAGAGATAGATAGGCAGATAGACAAACGACAGACAGACAGATAGATGATAATAGAGTATGTGTGCATGTGTAAAACAGAGCTATATGCATGGGTAGGTAGGCAAGTATATAGACAGATATAGATAGATTATAAATCACCAATGTCAAAATTCTACAGAATTTGAGTCTTTTACTTTTATAATACAGGAGAGAATAACATACCATGTTTATATAAACCTTTGCATTATTTACATGTTTGAAATAATAAAATTATTACACACAAAAAGAAAATATGAATGATAGATGATGAAAGATTAGATAGATAGACAGGCGCACAGACAGATAGATAGATGGCAGATATGTGTGCATATGTAAAATAGAGTCATATGCAAGGTAGGTAAGTATATAGATGATGTAGATAGATTATAGAATGATAGACGAGAGATAGATGATAGAATGATAGATTGACGATATGTGTGTGAGTAGATGGATATATAGTTAGATCAACAGGTACATAGATATAGATAGATGATAGAAGATAGGCATGTAGATAGACGATTGATAGATAGTTAGATAGACAGACATAGATAGACAGGTAGATAGATGATAGGTTCATCTGAACTTTGGGAAGTCTAGCATTTGTAGGTGGCATGAATGGCATTGGTAGACTTCTAGGTGGTTTGAGAAAGGAGGAAATCAAATTCAGTTCACATTAAAATTAGTGCGTTTTAAGCGGTGTTGCTCAAGCACTGTTTATTCTAAATAATGATGATAGCCCTGGGTGTGGCTTTCCTCAGCTCTTCAACATCACCCTGGAAGCTGTCAGCCCAATGACACACATCAGGAGGGTCACACAAGAGCTGTTGACCCTTTGGCCAAAATCAAGATGATCGAACCATCAGCTTCTTGGAGGGAGTGTGTTTCTTTGTACTGGCCTCTGCCATCTTCATACCTTCTCTCTCGTAATGGTATGCTTAACAGATGCTGGCTTAGACTGCATTGGATGTAGACCTGTCTGAAGACGAAAATTTAGAGCGGTACCAGTCTATATTATGGTGGTGATGGTGAATCTAGGCCTGGTTGCATGATCAGCAGAGATCATGCACTCTCTGGGTACCCTTTGTTGACTACTGCAGTAAGTACCTGCTTCAACCCTGCTCATAAAATGGGTAGAATTTACCAAGAGGTCTGTGGTGGGGAAACTGAGGCACTGCTCTGAGAGAAGTGTTTATATTATTCATTCAAGGAGAAGTCTTTGCTGAGTAAATTGATGCCTGCTTTTCATTTTCTTTAAAGTAGGGCAGTAGGTAAGAGATCGATTTTGATTGGACAGGGTTAGGGGAGTTACTATGAAAAAGTACCTTAATAATGATAATAATATAAAAGAATTTATAACTAAGAGACAAGTGTCTGCGAATCTGTTTGTAATTTATCAGTCCTTCAAGTTTGAGTATGACCAAGATCTTTTTCAACCTCAGTTCCTCAGTCTATAAAATGGGGACAACTCTATTGCAAAGTAGGTTGTATTAGGAAACAAATACAAGAGCACACCTGATAAACTATGTGCAGCACTTATGAATACAGACATTTCCAAGCTCTCAAAAATACTATTTTTCAGTCATGTTTTCAAGAGGGCAAGAAACAGAAATCATAGACCCTCATTCTTCATGTGATGCACACAGTCACACCAAGGCCTGTTATAGTTGAACAGCAAGCTATGGCTCCAGAGCTGGGAAGCAACTGAGCTGAGATTTAAAGCCATGGATGAGTGCTTTCAAATGCTGTATTCTTTCTGCTGAGTCCATTAGTCCCCCACACACAACCTTTTTTTTTTTTTTTTTTGCCAACCCATACACTTTTTCTTAGCAGCAAAACTGAAAGACATTTATGTTCGAAACTAACTCATCCTGATAATTCCCAATTAAGATGTTGTCATCTAGCATCTGGCACCATTTCCTTTTATGAAATATTGTAAACATAACTTGAGTATAGCTTAAATGAAGTGTCCAAATGGGATAAAAACAGGTCACCTGGGAAATTGGATCTTATAGATTACAAGAATTCAATGCCTAAATTGTACTTAATGGACATAATTTTTTAAAGAGAATTCTTTGGAAATGATTGGTCTATTGGTTTCATCATTATTTCTATCTAAGTCTACAGTGTAGAGCAATTAAAATCAAAATAAATAATACAAACTTCATCGAGCACAGTAGTAAAAGGCAGCTTCAGTTAATAGACGTGAAAGTCAAAAGAAAAACCTGAGAGGTCTTTGACCCAAGTTCATATCTTTACCTTGTTTTAAAAAGATTCCATATAAAACAATTTGGATAAAATTATCAGATAATTTTCTGACCCTGAAACTCTTTGAGGAAGATATTTCAAAGATACTTTACATGAGTATACCTAAAATACAATCTCTGGGGTGTGTGTGTGTGTGTGTGTGTGTGTGTGTGTGTGTGTGTGTGTAAAGATGTGCATGAGTGCATATACATGTAAACATGTGTATGTGTGACAGAGAAAGAGAGAAAGGTGAGAAGAGGGAAGGAGAAGGGAGGGGGAAGAGGGAACAGAGAGAGAGGAAAGAGAGAGAGAGAGAGAGAGAGAGAGAGAGAGAGAGAGAGAGAGAGAGAGAGAGAGAGAGGGAGAGGGAGAGGGAGAGGGAGAGGGAGAGAGACAGTCAAAAGTTGATGTTGGTGTCATCTTCAATTATTCTGTGCCTAAATTTTTGAGACAAGGTCTCTCACAGAACCTGGAGCTCACTGGTTCAGTTATCCTGGCTGTGGTGAGCAATCCTCAGGGACCCCCCTCTTTCTGTCTCCTCAGCCCTGAGATTGCAGGCATTTGCCACCATGCCTGGCTTCTGATAAAGGTATCAGAGATCCAAACTCCAGTCCTCCGGCTTGCATGGCAGGCACTGGACCAAGCCTTCTTCCTGGCCTCTTGAGGAGTCTCTTAAGGAGGGGAACCCTTACCATTAATTCATTACTGCCCAGTTGGATAAAAGAAATGATTAATTTTTAGTTGAATGCTTTCAAAACGAGGATGGAGGTAGGATGGGATTAAGGATAAGAGCGTATGATGAAGTTGTATATTGGCATTGGTTTAAACACAGTAGGAAAGCATTCTTTAGAACATCATTTTGTGCTGACAGGTGACTGAACCATCTTTTCTCTTTAACCTGGTGAGGTGATAGTTAAGCCCATGCACTGTCAAGTTCTGTAACCTAGTATCCAGTCCTAGCTCTCACACCTCCTGCTTTTGCAAGTTTAGGCAAGTTCCTTGGACTCTTTGAGGCTCAGTTTTCTCATTGGTGAATTATTGATAATCATGCTTTGTAGGTGGGTCAGGATGATTCAGCATAAACACCAATAAATGCCAATAAACACGTCAGTGTGGTTAATGCCATCAGTCTTGTCTGGGGCTTGTATTACCTTCTCAACGTATTCCTTAGACTCTCGTGTGACCTTACAGAACAAAAGCTGTCCCTTCGTAATAGAACAGTTTAATGGCATTATGATAAGGACACATATGCCCATTTACATAAAATATCAAATTGGTTTCCTTTAAGAGGCATAAAGATGTCCATAAAAACAAAAGCTATAAAGACAATCCTTCTAGTAACTAATCACGAGTTTGGACATATTTTCAGTAGCAACCCTAATTTGTACTCATCAAAGGAGAACATATTGATTTGTGTGTGTATTTCAAGCGGTGCTCTTACGCATGCTGGGCCTGTGGTCGCAGCACCCTCCCCTGGGAACGGTGGCTTCTTGAACTGCAGTGAATGGCGATTCTATTTGTAGGCATTCTTGCCGACAGCACACCTTCCTTTCTGTCGAGATTATTTAGTCCTCAAATTACACTGTCTTCTTGGAGCTACGGAAGAAACATCTCTAGCCCCTCCAGCCCCTCAATAACAGTGGTTCTCAATCTTTCTAATGCTGTGACCCTTCAATATGGTCCCTCATGTTGTGGTAATTCCCCCACATACACCATAAAATTATCTGATGGCCACTTTATAACTGTAATTTTGCTACTGTTATAAACTATAATGTAAATATTTAATATGCAAGACCCATAGACTGAGAACCAGTTCTCCAGAGACTATGTTCAGTCTTTAGAATTGTGGAATCTGTTTTCTGCAATCCAAAGACTACAGAGCAATTTCAATACTGAAGATCCTCAGACTGCAGCTCAGGCCACATGTGTATAACACAGAAAGTCAGAATGCTGGTCTCATTTGAACTCCAGGGGCATGCTGGCCCCTCCCAGGCCACCTTCTAATTGTAAACAAAAGCACCATTTTCACAGCAGTGGAGGTAAAATCCAGAAGAAGATGACTTACCTTCCTTTAACCAAGGAATGTTGCTTTTGTCATTTTCAAAATGCTCGCCTGTTCTTACTTTTATCTTTTCCAGCTCAGTTTCTGACATCTGAGGGGGAAACAGAATTTGCGATGTAAGAAATGCATCGAGAGTGCACATTGTGAGCACAGTTTTATGTTAGGAGACTCTTGACATATTATGGAAGTTTTTCCTGTCTGCAGTGTTGGGACACTGTCTAACTCGGCCTTCACTTTGATCCACTTGTGTTATTTTAAAACCCTGACACTGAGAACTGAACTTTGTATTGTACAGTACTTCCTACAGTACTTCATTGCTCTGCAGCAAAGCCTGCTGTAAGATCTTGGAGCTCTTGGATCTAAGTGAATAATGGATTCCTAGCTAGACTGGGGATTGTCACAAATAAATAAACATTTGGTTGCTGTTTAGTGTCTTTTAATGTCGTATAGAAAAGTGTGCTAAAAAGTAAAACACAAAGATATAGATAACAATCAAACACAACAGGACCTTTTCAGGAATGTATTGAAAAAGTAAGAGTCTTATTACCTAAGCTAGCTAACATAACCTCCCCGCTTCCCTCCACTCAGCCGAAAGTATCCAGGAAGCCTTCTGCACACCTTCAGAGCAGAGCCCTTGGCTTTGGGGGCTTGCTTGCTGTGCAGACTCTCCTCCATTCAGCACTACAGAGCACTTACCTGTGTGTTGCAAAAGGAGGAAGTCCAAGGTGTGGGGCTGGGGTGCAGTGTGCTGCAGCCTCCCTTGTGTCTGGGTCTCCAGCATTCCTCTACCCTGGCAGAAATGAGCAGAGGCAAACACACTCCCTCCCTGGGTGGTGCTAGATTTGTATGGCTGCCAGAAGCATCCAACTTGCGGCTGAGAGGTTTTGTTTTTTTTTTCCTAAGGTAATATAAAGCCTGTGGTTTAAAACAATAAAACCTCCTCCAGGCTAACACTTATTTAAAATGACACTCTACCAAATAGGCTAAAAACGGTGAATTCTTTTCAAATGCACAGAGTGACTCCTATCCCCTTCCCTTCCAACCCACCATTCATTATTTAGTATTAATACTAAAAGGTGATGAAAGAACATACTGAAAACATATACACAAACTATTTGGTTTAAAAGAGAGACCTCTAAAGCTGAATTCCCCAGATGTTCATTCTCTGGCTGCTGTTTTGAAAATCATTTTTCCCTAACATTTTATAAGCAATAAAAAAACTTAGAATTTTTGACTTTACCATTTGCAGATATAAATCTAAAAAGGATTTGGAATGACATTCCAAAGAGCATTAGTCATTACATTCTTAGGTGAGGACAACATTGTTTTAAATGAAAGATAAAAACCTAAATGTGTAGCCCTTGAGTATACACGATAAATAATTCACCCGTCCTGAAAGACGACTCGTTTTTGTTTTTGTTTTTGTTTTTGTTTTTGTTTTTATCGTGGAAGTATTTGGTTTGTATCTCAAAGTGGTTGACCCCCTCTGATGTGTTTGCCTGCCACAGATGTTATCTGATTGTGTAGTAGTCATTTCTCCATCACCCAAACTTTATTTCTTTGTGTACCATGCTCTCTGTCTTACCATATTCAAAACTACCTTGATCAGCCAAATTTCACACAAATGCCACCTTTAGTTCCTTCCATTATGAGTAAGAAAGATTTCAGATTGCTTAGACAATAGAGAAGCCCTTGAATGGTTGGTTTTTTTCTACATGATTTTCTACTCAAAATCCAGATTCTTTGCAAAGGCCAAACGTTTACTCCAACTCAATTGTGTGGCTGCTGTTCTGCCATTAACACTCCTAAAAATATTTCTTCACAGCTTTCTCTCACTGCTCTCCTGAAGGATTTGTCCTTTGTCTGATTCGCTTAGAATTCTTGGTGTGATTGGCCTCCATTTCAGTCTTTCTGGGAACCTGCCCTGTCTTCTCAACAATGCTATGAGCACCTACAGGATCAATTTCTTTGGCAGTATTTTCTGTTTAATACTTGACCAGTTCATTCACAAACTAATGATGCTAGATCAATAAAAATACCATACCAAATATTGACGATAGTGTTTTCCTTAATCCCAAAGTTGTAAAATATGTGGTATTATTCCTTCTATTCTAGCTAATTTTCCAATAGTTTAAACCATTGCCCTTAAGAAAAACAAATCATTCATATTTGTCATGTTATTGGACCAGAGAGACTTTCAGTAAATAATCATCATAGAGACTTTGAAGCACTGAGCGAGATTAGTACATTGAGTGAAGAAATTCAGGGTATTTTCACACAGAGGCAATGGAGGACTGGGACAGAAGCAATGGGCTGTGGACATATCAAATGATATTGTTAGTAATATTCTTTCATTTAAATTACCTTTGTTTTAATTTTCAATGTGGATTTTAGTCTCTAGTAGATTCAAAAGTTGTGCATTCTCTAGAAGGCAGAGAATCATGGGAACCCATATGGGCATGTGGTGGCTAATTTTGGTTGTCAACTTGACTGCCTCTACAATCAACTAAAACCCAAGCAGCTGTGCTATAGGATGTCGTTCTGTGTGCTGTGAATGTGTGTTGCTCTGATTGGATGATAAATAAAATGCTGATTGGCCAGTGGCCAGGCAGAAAGTATAGGTGGGACAAGCAGACAAGGAGAATTCTGGGAAGAGGAAGGCTGAGTCAGGAGTTGCCAGCCACACACAGAGGAAACAGTATGACAAGGCAGAACTGAGAAAAAGGTCCCAAGCCATGTGGCTAAACATAAATAAGAATTATGGGTTAAATTAAGTATAAGAGCTAGTCAGTAATAAGCCTGAGCTAAAGGCCAAGCAGTTACAATTAATATAAGCCTCTGTGTGTTTACTTGGGGTTATGTGAGTAGGAGAGATTTGTCCCGACTGCCGGCAGGCTGGAACACAGGAAAACTTCCAGCTACACAGCTGGGCACACTTAAGGGAGATTTTTCTTGATTGGATCATTTGAGGTAGGACCACTCACCCTAAATCTGGGCCACACATTCTGGTGGCAGCCACATAAAGGGACATGAGAGAATGTTTTTGGTTTTCTTTTCTTTTCTTTTTTTCTTTCTTTCTTTCTTTTTTTTTTTTTTTTTTTTTTTTTTTTGCTTGCTTGTCCTCACTGTCACTGGCAATTTAATCTATCCCACTGCTGAGGCACCAGACTGGGACTGCTAAGACAGCCAGTCTTGTGGACTAAAAAGCACCTGGATTTTTTGCTTTTGCATTGTGAGGCAAATATATTTATTTTTTCTATCAGTTCTTTTCCTTTAATTAACCCTGACTTGAAAGTCACGATCCCAAGTCAATTGTAAAACCTCTACAGGAGGCTGGGATCAAGTTTATGGATAGTATACTCACTTGCAATGCTCCAACATCTGTTATGGAGCCTCTGTAGGAACCTCTGACTATATTTATTTATCTTATACTTATGTCCAAATCATCTTCTAGCAGGCTGTCTCAGGAGAAGCCCATACTTCAAAAGGGTACACACAGCCCTTGCTCCACAAACTACAGGTGACTCTTTTGGTTCCTCTTCACCTGTAATTGGCCTTTGATTATTCTTGACTTGATGTGTTCTCTACTTCTTTACTATTGCAATTCATATTATTAATTATGACCTGGTAGTATATTTTTCAAACTTTGGAATCCTTGTACAGGAATTCTTTTTTATGAAGAAGTATATTTTATAATTTGCAAATAACTAATGTTGGTTAATGCATTTTAAACATGACATTGGTCCTGACCATTGGACTTTTTCTTCTGTTTTATCATTTTTTTTCCACATTCTCACTACCCTTGCATTTTGGCTTTTCCTTTAAGTTGACTCTTTTTTCTTTCTCTTTTTAAATTTTATAATTAATTTATTTTTACATATCAGCCACAGATTCCCCTGTCCTTCTGCCCCCACCCGCCCTCCCCCCTAATCCACCCCCCATTCCCACCTCCTCCAGGGCAAGGACTCCCCTGGGGATTCAGCTCAGCCTGGTAGATTCAGTCGAAGCAGGTCCAGTCCCCTCTTCCCTTCACCCAGGCTGAGCAAGTGTCCCAGCATAGGCCCCAGGCTCCAAAAAGCCAGCTCATGCACTAAGGACAGGTCCCGGTCCCACTGCCTGGGGGCCTCCCAAACAGTTCAAGCTAATTGACTGTCTCATTATCCAGAAGGCCTGATCCAGTTCCATGGGGGCTCCTCAGCTATTGGTTCATAGTTCATAAGTTGACTCTTGTCATTGAGAATGGCACTATTTTTCTTTTTTTTAAATATTTTTATTTTATAATTAATTTAATTTTACATATCAGCCACGGATTCCCCTGTCCTCCCTCCTCCCACCCCCCAGCCTTCTCCCCCCCCCCCCAATCCACTCCCCATTCTTACCTCCTCCAAGGCAAGGTCTCCCCTAGGGAGTCAGCCCAGCCTGGTAGATTCAGTCAAGGCAGGTCCAGTACCCTCCTCCCTACACCAAGACTGAGCAAAGTGTCTCAGCATAGGCCCCAAAAGCCAGCTCATGCACCAAGGAGATCTACATGAGAATGGCACTATTTCTCGTTGAGACAACTCACTTGGAATTCTATGGGTGCCTAGTATTTGTAACATGATGTCGCTAAGCATAAAATTCTCTTTTCTCTCCATCTCAGCAGTCAGGATGCTAAACATAGGTTACAGGTGCTTTGTTTCTGGGTTATCTGTTTCTATTATCCTTCTTAGAAATCACATTGAATGTTTCCTACTGATGCCAATACTGAAGCTGTCTGTTCACCTGCCTAGTGACATGCATGGGCCACAGAATTCTCTGCTTGGGTAATGGAGTCTGATTTGGATTAGGATTTTAGTCTCTTGAGCTGAGCTTGACCTTGGAATGAGTGAGTTAAGCTTATGACAGATCCAGGACTGAAAAATAAAAGGAAACAAGTCATTTGAAGCAGTCAGGACAGACTGGGAAACAGTAATCAAATCTGGAGCTCAAAGTGGCAGGCCAGCTTCAGATGTCACAAGGACCTGGGATCTCATCAGAATACAAAGCAAACAAACGTGTTATGTATTTGTTTGTTTGTTTGCTGGTTTACTTGGATGGGGATAACATGAACATTCCTTTGTAATAGTTCTTTTTGTTTAGAATCAAAATCTGATCCAGAAATAGAATCTTTGAGGACAAGCTGTCCATCAGAAGGCAGATTTTGCCAAGAAGAAAATATCTAAGGTGATCACATTTCAAGCTCCAGTTCCAGTAAGAATAGGATTGAATGTAAGCCCTTCCTCTGAGCACCTCCCATTTCCGGGTTCCACCCACAGAACATTCTAACTGCCCTAACAACTGGACCCTGCTCCCACCCTACAAAATAAAAAGCCCAAGTTCTGGGACCTGAAATCCCACCCCAGTCCCCAAGAAAAACCATATAAACCCTGTCTTCTGCTCAGTTCTCTGCTGTTTCTCACCCAAGCAGAGGCAGCCACCTTCCTGGTTTTTCTTCCCTCCTAATAAATCTCTTGTGTGAAGTTTGTTGTGCAGTATGACTTTGTGATATTCATTGGCTCCCAACTGCCAGGATACCTTTCCATCTGAGCTGTAACACTTAAATTGAATGCATGCACAAAGTGCCATTTTAATAAACAGGACAAAATCACCTGTGACTTTTTGATTGTTTAAGTGTACTCCACATTATCATTTAGTATTGCTAGTAAAGCAACGAAACTGCATATATAACACATGAATATCAATCACTGTGCCAGCAACTTACAATATTAAATCTGAGGACTATAATTTGCAGAATAGAGCCTATGATGGCTAATCTTGGTTGTC